AAACCTACGGCTTGCTGTATCCGAGACCACTACCAAGGAAACTCCTGCCATAGATCCTTTTTAAGGATTAAGTAAACCTGGCGAACAACATCGATTCGGGAGGCAATGTCATCCTTACTCTGTGTATTCGGCAACAAGGTCGCCCTGAGGTACCTGAAAATGTCTACATGTTATATTTCACAGCCATCAATCGCGAGAGGCGCCTTTTCCGGGTCTTGGATGCAGCTTTAAAACTGAGCGATTTAGCTACTTCATTCACCCGTGACTGCAGAATATCGAAGCTTGAAAGCAGTAGGGTGATAGCATCGGTGTAGTCGGGATCAGCCAGCCAGTGTCCGGATGCAAGTGCAAAGCCATTATCTTCGTGTTGGGCATTCTCAAGACTTAAGCCAGTAGCTTAGTTGAACAGAATGGGCGACAACGAATACCCCTTTCGAACGACAGAGGGAATAATGAACGATTGGAATCATTGTTAAGGACCAGAACTAGCGCAGCGATGGAGCGATAACAGACCTTAATCGTTGCCATTACGGTGATGGTACACTAGCTGCCGTAAGGATTCAAGAAGGACGGAATCGAACGCGGCGGCGTAATTAACAAACCAGACGGCCGTTGGGTGTCGAACGAGACGAGCTATGGAGGAAATCAACAACGCGCCTCGGTGTGAATGTCTGGTTCACACATCCAGCTCATCACGGAATCCGACTTGGTTGGGCCTCGTCACTGAGTCACGCACGGCCTGGAATCGCTTGAAACAGATAATAGCCATGGTCATCACACCAACGTCGATGAAGCTTATTTATCATATTTGGTTACGTTAATAGGTAAAATCATTGCAGCTGCGATATTCAGGCCTGGTTCCTTGTGGAAAGATAATAAGTGAGACGCCAGATGGAAAGAGTAGTTTATTCTGTACAAAAGGAAGTGGAGGATAGATAAGAGGAAGTTGACAGTCGAACAAACGTACATCCGGCCGCTAGGGGACGGTGTTCCAAGTGTGAGAGCACGGAAGTCGTAAAAAGCGCCTCCAGCAAGGTCACGTGTGAGTCAGCCTCAGGAGGACAATTGGCCAGACCGGACTGGTGTAAGCCTACATGTGCGCATGTGCTACCAGTCGCGAGAGACGAAATGATGAGCGTTGCACGTGAACTTGTGCAACTTCACATGCCGCGGTAGTTCTCGCATCTCATCTTATCTCCTTTCTTGAGGACAGGTACAAGGATGCCTGAGCTCCAGTCACCAGGAACAGGCGAGCATGCGTTTCGTCTATCCACGCTTGTTCAATTCTCTCATGGAGTGGTGACACTAGGGTGATGATACAATACTTATGGGATTGAGCGGG